TTACATTCGATACTTTCGATAAAGAAAGAATTGAACATATAACTTTTTGAACAATAGAATAAGAATACTTATACTATCATTATACTATGTACATATAAACATTTTTATCAGCACATTACAATGGTAAGCAACTATGTCTATTGGATTGTACAATATTAAACATCTGTCTATCATCATGGACCAAATATTATTCGATTAAGAGAAACAATTAAAAACTATATAATTAATAACAAAAAATTATTGATTGCTACATTTCTATTATTTTGATTGAATGCTTTTTTTGAATAAAGTTTCAAAAAATTTAAATCTTTTTAAACTGTTTCCCTTAATCATAAATAGAATAAAAATTATTAACATCTATTAATTATTATACTTAATGGTTGAAATATATGTAAATATAAAGATAGCCAAATGAATGGCTAAATTTTTAAACATAGTTCGCAAAAATTGCACAAGAAAGATTTGATTCATAACTATACAGTACATTCCATTGTATAGATTCATTATCATATGAACACATGGACACGCATCAAAGTTATGTTATCAATTTTTATGAAGTGTAACATTTCAGACCGCGATATATAATATAATACCACAAAAAAAATTATTTTTAAAAATATAATAGTTTAATACAATATTAAAATAAAATAAAATAAAATATTTAAAAAAATATTTGTTTATCATAGATATTTTTGTTATAATTCGAAAATTTCATATTACTTGATTTTTAATAAAATAGTACTTCATAATTATCCTTATATAAATTACAATAAAATATTATTTATAATCATATTATACAATGACTAATAAAATAGCCACATATTATTTTTGATGATATTATTTTTATTCAATAGTATTCTACTAAATACTACTTTTTTATTATTATTATCATACGAAATATATATTTTTTTAAAATAATACATATACAAAAATTTATGTTAATGAAATACTATTTTATTTAATTATAATTTTAAATTTAATTTTATCGCGGACTGATATTTTGTAAAAAATATGATATTTTCACAATGATAAAACAAAAAATTTTTTTTCAATGGTGTGAATAATGTTCTACGAATGTCAGGTACAAATGTTATACTAGTAATATGTTTTCTAGTTAATGCTTTTTTTTTTCAAATTATATCTTCATAAATCCGATGCCCATTTATGTATCCTTGTATTATCATAGGAAACACAACTTGCCCATGAGTGTACAATAACGTTAAACTTATAAGGATAATCGTTTATCTTACATACTTTCAACAAAAATATAAGTCAAAGATACAAAATATGTGTAAAATGAAATAAAAATTAAACACAGTGACGTATTTATACATGCAAATATGTCAATGTAGATTTTTATATTTTATGATATCATATATACATTAAAAGTGATCATATATTCAATCATGTTCATTAAATTAAACACAATTGTTATCGCGACTTTAAAATCAGATTACGATATATATTTAAAAATAATTTAATATCTTAAACATAAATCCAATACTCATATAGAATATATTATGATACAATTAATAACTAATATCTTATGTATTTAAATAGTAAATATCCATTTAAAAGAAAAAGAATAAGAATAAATGACATATCGAAATCTATATTAATGCTCTTAAATTCTTTAATAAATGCTTTTCGTTCAAATGTTTATATGAATGATTGAGCAAATTTTAAAATACAATGAAAAAGAAAGTGAAAAGTGAGAAGGCGAGAGAAAAGAAAAAAATATAACAGATTCTTATAAATAAGTCTGTTTTCAAAATCGCGAAAAATCTTCATTTTATGAACTTTATAATGTTAAGAAAAAAAAATGAAGTTTATAGACGCCACTGTTCATATTAATAGAACGAAAAGAAATGAAAATTAACTTAAGAGTACTGAACGCGTATATAGGTAGTCAAGTATGTAAGAGTGACATTTATTCAGGATTGTACATTCGCTAAACGCGTTGGAGTAGTCGGTTGTAAATCCATAGTACGACATACCCAACCAGCGATATCTACATTTTCAGATTCAGCTTTTTTAATCCATTCATGATTCTAAGAATTAAAGATGCATTGCAATTTAAAAAAAAGTAAAATAATAATTATTTAATTTAAATAAACAATTATATAAAATAAATTACATACCATTAATGTTTTTAAATCTGCTCTTTCAGCAGGATTTTTTTTCAAACAACGATCCACAAAATCTGTAAAAGCATCACTAAAAATACCAGCAGGCAATTTTGGTGGTGGTTCATTCACGATATAATCCAATAATTCGAATATAGCCATCGGTCTTGGACTACCCGTATCTACATAAAAATAATCTTATTATAATCTTAATATTTATGGAAATATTAAAAAAGAATAAATTTAATAAAACATTTCATATAAATTTAAATATAAGAAAAATATAAAATTAAATGAAAAAAAAAAGAAATAAATCAACTAACTATGTCCTGGGGATTGCGTTGGAGTAGAAGCATTATTTGTAGCTGTACTTTCTGCAGGTGGTTGACCTGTCGGAGTATTAAATATTGCAGCTAAAGTTTTTTCATCTGGAGGTGGAATTGGATACATTCCAATTGCCATTTCCACAAGTGATAATCCTAAAGACCAAATATCACTTTGAACAGAATAATGTGTACCTTGAAGTCTTTCTGGCTAAAAATGGAATAATTTATATATTTTTTATTAATATATTTTAATATCTCTTACATATATTAAAATTAAAAATAATGCACATATGATATATAGTACAATTATAATTATAATTCCTACCGACATATAACTCCTTGTTCCGACAAATGAATTAGCCATAGAATCGATTAATTGTCCGGAAACACCAAAATCACAAATTTTTATTTCTCCAGCGCTATTTACTAAGATATTGCTTGGTTTTACATCTCGATGCATAATCGCATGTTTATCTCGTAAATAGCTTAAACCTTTCAAAACCTATGACAATATTGACATGAATCAATTGAATATTGTTTAAAGTTTTCTCATAAGTTACAATTAAAAAAAACATATATAAAGTCCGAAATTTCTTTCATATAATCGAAAAATCGAACAAGAAGGCCATGAAAATAATTGAACTCTGAAAGAAACAGTCTTTTTAATATTTTATAACTCAATTCGAATTTGTATTACATCTATGTATGTGAAGCTAATATATTTAAAAATGATCAAAATATTATCTAAAATACTGCAAAAAGTAACTGTTACTCCACTCGAGAAAAAACTTACTGAAAGCGAATTGATAGCTCTTCAAGAAGAATTACATACTCTTGATCATATAATACCTTTGGAAGAATTATGCGAGAAATTAAATACTCATATACAATATGGCCTAACTGAAGAAGAAGCGGAGAGAATTTTACATGAAATAGGACCAAATGCTCTAACACCACCAAAAGTACTTCCAGAATATATCAAGTTTATAAAATGTATGTTTCATGGATTCGCTACTTTATTGTGGGCTTGTGCAATATTGTGTTTCGTTTTATGTGGAATTAGTTTATTAACAGAAGGTGTAACTGGTGGCTCAGAATGGTTAGGATTTATTATTACTTTAATCTGTTTATTTTCTGGTATTGCTGCATA